TCGAGATTGATCATCAGATGAGCATTGATCTAAGTGACTGTCGACTAATTGTACACAAACGACAGAGACTCCCTGGCACCATGCAAATTTTCGTCCAACTTCTGACTAGAAAGACAGCTACACTCGAACTTCAGCCAGATTGCACTATTGAATACACAAAACTTCAGATCCTTATTATTGAAGGAATACTAGTAGACCAACAACGATTGATATGGACCGGCAAGCAACTCGAAGATGGGTGAACGTTAAACGACCGCGGTATTTCAAGAAAGCAGGCATTGCATCTGTTTTTACGCCTTCGTGGTGACAAGCCCGTTATTCGTCTTCGATCGTCAAACAGTACTATTATTTCGAATGTTAATGTTCGCCTTGATCTTGCCAGCAAGATATGGTATCTGTCAAATATATATCCAACACCATCAAACACTAATGAAACGTCATTTATTGAATGGAACAATATTCAAGTACATTCTGATGAACGATTGCTCTTCGAAAACAAACACGAGATCGAAGAAGCTGATTGTTTATTTCCATCAATCGTCGATGAAAATGAACATCAAATGCTGTTCTCGGAAGCACTGACACATAATAACTCATCTGTGTTCGCACTCGATAGAGGTCTATGTGTACTTGGACGAGATTTTTCACGTGTTCTTAATTATCTACTGAAGAAAATGTCATTCTCAGTAGAGGATCGAGATGATATGATCACGTATGTTCTTCCACATCTCGACGATGCTGATTCTGAGTACACAAGTTCAAATGTCGTATTTCGTTTTCTTTCACAAGATGAATACTCGTCAGTAGCACAACTCAGTATTCAATCTCTACCCGAACAAGTCATTCGCGCTTTCCTTCTCTATCGACTTGACAACAATGAAGAACATGTGTCGAATATTGATGAAATCGAAGGAGAAATCAGTTTGACGTATAATCAGAAGTCTTCATGAAATGGTCTTATCGTCCATGAATGAGGTTCGATGTTCATACATTGATGTGATTTTTTTTGTCATAGATTTACGCTGCGTATATTCATGATGCTTGTTCTTCTATTAGAATAAACCACCAACAAATAAAAATGGATAGATCAATACGGTATAGGTGTGGCTTGATAGTTACTGTGGAAGCGGGGACAGATGTAGTTCTTTTCTTCACACACATACCAATACTATCAAGTGATAGAAGAATATTAGATTCCGATACACGATCAAGCTGTTTAGGAGTAGATGAGAATAAGTGAGTATGATAGAGGCGGTGACAATAACAGAAAAGGCATTCACTCACATTGGCACACACCTTCACTTACACCTGCAAAGTTGAAAAATAAAAAAAGGTCATGTTTCCTGTCGCAGTTATTTTAGATCAATTTTACGGAATATATTTTATCGATGTTTAAAGATGTACTTAGTACTCGAAGACAAGACATAGTGAAACTGTTTTTGAATGTACAGTACATATGGTTAAATCATACTGATGAATATAGAATAATGGATGGTGAGAAAAGGTTTGAAAGTGGCGTGATAGAATCTCTGCATCTGGGTGAATATTGTGCTCGGTTTCACTCACTTGGTAATTGGAGATGCAGCAGTGGCATATTCGACTTGACTAATCCTGCCTTTTTTCTTGATAATTTAGTGCACTAATAATAAATGATGCACCTGATACGAATCATATGAACACTAATCCTTCCACAACATCGTTTTGCTTCGATATATTTAAATGAAAATCATTCACTCATTTTCTTTGTTTTCATCAATACTTACAACATGCTGAATATTACTTTGTTGACTAGCATAGCTTGTATCGTGATCATTCATCTACGAGCAACTTCTGCCGCAGGATGCTGGTCTGCGAACGCTTGTATAGATAAGAATGCTTGTGTTTCCAAGGGTGGAACCCCTCAAGCGGGTCTCTGCCCTGGTGCCGCCAACATTCAATGCTGTACCTGGTAAAATGCTCATTACTGTTCACATCAAGATCTAAACTCATCCTTTTAGTTCGACGTGCAAAGATGTAGCAGTTTGCTCGGCTAGCGGTGGAACATCTCACCCAGGTATTTGTTCTGGCGCTTCCAATATACAATGCTGCAAAGGAGGATCTAATCCAACGAACCCTGGCCCCAGTACTCCTGTTAACACAATGCTTACAGGTTTGGCCGGTATTCTTCGTGGCGCCGGCCTCAACGTGGTCGAAGTTGCCGGCTGGAAGACTCGTGGTCATGGTGTAATGGCTTCTGTGAAAGGTATCGTCGTCCATCACACGGCTGGTCCAAAGACAGGCGATTATCCCTCGTTAGCGGTCGTTCGGGATGGTACCTCAAGCCTTGCCGGGCCACTTGCACAGCTTGGACTCGGGCGTTCAGGAACTTGGTTTGTTATTGCAGCAGGTCGTTGTTATCATGCTGGCAGTACTATTAATGACTCAATCTATGGAAACTCTAATGCAATTGGTATCGAAGCCGAAGGGGTTGGTTTGCCAGCTACCGAAAGTGGACATGCACACTGGCCCGAAGCCCAGTACCAGAGCTATGTCAAAGGTGTTAAAGCTCTCCAGAAAGCATACCGAGTACCAACTGCTCGTGTATTAGGACACAAAGAGGCAGCAGTACCTAAAGGTCGCAAGATTGATCCAAACTTTTCTATGGCTGAGTTTCGTGCTAAGCTCGGTTGAATCATCTGTTTTTGTTAAAGAGCATAATTTTGAGTAGAAAATCCGGTTAATGATATATTAATTGATTGAAACTTGATCTTAATTATAATCAATTACTGAGGTTTTTAAACTATATAAACCGAGTCGATAAACCTCTGATTAATCAATAACAATCGCACCATCCGAAGAAATTATCAAGGGTTTGCAAAGCAAAATAATTCAATGTGAAGCGCACAATGTTCCCTTTAAAATTATGCATCATAAAGAAAATTCTGGCTGAAAATAGGTACAGAATGAATCTTGGAAAAAATAATGTTCTATAGTATTGACCAACGGAAAAGCACGAATTTTAATAAGGTTCCATGGAATTCTTAATTCATACTTGGATCAAGAATACTTGATTTTAGTTCTCATAATTCTGAGTTGTGGTGTATGTCATAACCTATATTTCATTAATTTGATTCGAATTCACATTGTGTATGCACGTTTCATGTTGTGTCATTGATGCTTAGCTCAAGAATTCAAGCCATTCTCATGTACAGAGATATCTTCTAGCATTTGAGAAAGAACTGTAGTAGCGCACGTCATAGTAAAAGAATATTATCCAACATTCGACAACTCACCGTGATCTCAAATAAAAGAAAGATTTCTTGTGATTTGTGTCACTCCACATGTTTACAAAGTGTCGGCGAATACATTTTAAACAAAGAAAACAGTAATCTGATTCATCCAGTGCACCTATCTCATCCATGGAATCCCAGCATAACCATTACATTCGGCATGGGCTGGCTGTGTTATTTAATTCGATTTAGTGAAAATCTTAGTATTATGTTTTCTCTTTGCTGCAACATCAATGCAGTAGAACACTCATGAGCGAACATTTTCAATTGATCAATGACTGTTTATTAATGCACACTAATAGGCTATAAGTCATCGACGAAGCTTACTCTGAATCTGGGCATGATAAACTCTCTTAGCCTTTACTAATTATCTTTCTAGAAAACTAGTTTTCCAAGTCAAAAAAAATTCATTAAATTACGTTTCTCGATCTATTCAAATCGTACAGCATATTTAAGCTGTCTATAAAATAGTAGTTTTTTTTGTTTCAAATCGGATTTAGGAGCAAATATAGACATTGTGTTTCACAGAACAAATACACATTAGCATTAGTGCAAAAGTACAACAGCTTATATGATTTTATTCAAAACTCATTTTTATCATTAAATCGGCTCTTGACAATGTAAGGGTATAATATTTACAAACTATCATTCAAACACATTGCTAAGATTGAAATTAGTACGCAAAGATCCAATAAAAGTTACTTGTAGGAGCTGATATCAGCGTCTATTGATATAAATTGTTCGACTTCTGAAGAAGTATTACTCTTCTACTATGATGAACCTTGATAATATTTCATAATGTTTATCACAATAATTTAATGTTAATTTGAATTTAAATATAACGAAAATCTCACATAATGAGCATGCAATTATGCACCGTTTATCTGAGGTCATTAGCTCACTGACTATCTATGATTGATTTGATTACGAAGACGAAGTCATAATCGATCTTGCGAATGATTTAGATGATAATTACAGCTAAAATGATAATACTGCTAGTGATAATGATGCGACTGAGGCTGATGATCAACGAGATAATAAAGGAAATAAGACTTTTGTAAACCATGTGATCATCCATGGTCACCCATACGAAAAGTAAAATCTATATTCAAACAGTTACTTCACATGAAATTATATGCCGATTTCGATATTTTTCTCAATACGCAAGCACCTACGAATATCCAAAACTACAACCAACACTCACGCGAACAACTATCACTGTTCGAGTTCATCCAGAAGAGTCAGAAAATCCCATCGGCTTGTTGCTTGGATTACAAAATATTACGGATCCAAAGACGGACATTTATCTGATTTATCATCAATCATCACATCTTTGACCTGAGAATTTTCAAAATGCAGATGGCTGACTAAAAATATTTTTGGATACTTTTTAGTGATCGTAAGCGATACTTGTTTTTCATGCGAGCATCGGCTATATTTTTGCATGGTCAAAACTTGATCGTGGATCTGCCAAAATGTCTAGACCGGTATATGATGCCATACAAAATAACTGTTTGAGCATAGATTTCACTTTTGTTCGATGATCGTGACTGTTCATTGCAGTTAGTGTGAATCTTCATCCTTTCTTTAGTTCGATAAGGTATGGATGTGAGTAAATGTGGATTTTGGTGTGGTGTATGGACGTTGTGTGAATGTTTATCTGGTGTGTAGATAGATAGATAGACGTTAGTGCATGAATTTTAATTTTTTTTCAAAGAAATTCGACTTTTAAATCTTTCTCCAAGTGAGAGTTTTTTTTAGAACGCTACCAATGAAACTTCAAAAGTATTTCTATCAAATAATTCGAAAATTGTTATGATTTTTATGTTGCTTGTATTTTTGAAATAACAATATGTGGAAAGATGAAATTCTAATGTGAAATAGATTTCGACGCACAGATGGGCAAGTCAGTTATTCTTTTTACTCAAGTCAAGTTAAACCACAAATCAATTCTCAAGTCAATCTTTCTTATTTGACAAGCACTATTCAGATTTACTATAATGAAAAAATGGACACTTTTCTATGTAGTATGTACAGTGAAAAGAATAGAATTTGATAGCGAAACAAAAAATATGACTTTACATTATGTGAAACTTATATGAGTTTTAGTCACAAAAAAAGATATTTGACCTGACTCGTATTTTGTTTTGTCGGGTCACAAGTCAAGTCAAAGCAAGTCATAAATGACTTGACTGGACTTGCCCATCTCTATTTCGACGTCTAGTGCATAAAGAGTGCACAATAAGTTTTGATACCCTCTTGCAATGCTTTTTTCTCACATATTTTTGATGCCGATCGAGTCTCAATATTTATAGTGTACATGCTAGATGCCAAGCTCTATTCTATGCTAGAAATTGAGTTTGTATTTTTATTGTTACAGAGATATAAGTATTACCAAAATTATAGGAATTTTTAAATTATAGTAGACTATTTATCCATGAGAAAATGTGTAGTCATTCGACCACGCACTGCACTATACGTTATTTTTAGTTTCCTATCTATAACTCTTGCGTTCTGTCATTTGTACACGTCGTTGTGAATAAGAGAAAAATATACGGTCGCTTTTTCTTTGGTGATCATAACGTGCAGAAACAACGGAACATACGAATGAATCACATGCAGAGACAAGATGAGTCTAATTTCGACTGAGTGAATTACTAGATAATTACCGATTGTCTCAATCACTTTACAGTTTTCTTTTAGATTCTATATAATATTAGTCTGAATCGATGTGAAAATATGCATGAAAAGAATATTGCAAGATAGAATCAAAACTTCTTTTTCATTCTTTATCGATAAACGATTTTCAGCATCAGATAAAGCTCGTCGAGTTCTACTTAGAATAGATGAAAATAGTATTGGAACATGTTCTTAGACTGATCAGCCCCGGGAAAAGGACGATTCTGACCTAATACAACCTGCGTTGTTTCTTTTTAAGATACAACAACACAAACATCAAACCGAACACACAACGTAAAATAAAATTTATTTTACTGCTATGGCGTGTATTCTGCTTGTGTTTTAAACCATTTTTTTTTCATTTCTTTTGAGTTTTTCTTTCCTCTCGTGGCCTTTACTGTGTTTCATTGCTTGACTTTTTTCTTTGCTCTTTTTTTCCGCTTATTTCTTTTGCTTGCAAGTGTCTATAGTCTTGTGAATTAACCTTCAGCACTTGTACATATTTCTTTCTTGATAATCGCTGCACAGTTGACCAAAATGTCGAAATAAAGCAGTGTTCGTTAAAGTCGATGTGATTGTATCATTCATATTGAAATCATTCACTTTTGTTTCTAACCGATTTGTGTTCCTTTTTGACCAGTTATTCTTGATTCAGTAGAATATGCCTTCTTTTAGCTATTATCATATGCGACTCTGTGAAGCAAAACACATGAAAGGTGAATTACGATGTACGCCAATCAATTAAATATTTTGTTCTGGTTTGACCTCCAAATATGTACGTTACCCTCGTTTCCTTTTTCTTTTTCTACTCATTCTTTTTCTTTCTCGACATATTTCTTTTTTTTTTGTAAAAAGTATTGCAAGACCTTGAATTAGTAATTGCATGCTTGTTCTTCAAACTTTAGAAAAAGTGTATGCACATATTATTTTTTTGCTTCTCTTTTTACATAATTGCAAGAAGGTAGGGACACGATTTACATATCGAATAGCATTGATTTTTTTTTTTGCAGTATTTATATTAAAGATATTTTAATTCCATATCATACAAGAGCAGAAACTTCGATATCAAAAACATGTAATGGAGGTATTCTCGATTTATAGGAAACAAAAACAACGAAGTAGCCTAGCTACAAAAATTGATTTAGCATGCGATTCTTTATGGATGGTCACATACTACCGTATAAAAAGTCAATGCATAAGAATCGAATAGTACAAAATCTCTTCCTATAAATATCTCTTGACGAAGAACACCTCCATACAGTTAATACTTTGAACTTATACTTAGCTTTTTTCTGCTAGAAACGAATCTTTCCATAGTTAACATCATTATATCCTCAGCTGTAAAAGTCTGTTTATATTTCTGAGACACAAAATGACCTCTATAATGCGAGTGCTTTTTTCTGTTCTTCTTGAAGTCGACCAGGTCATCATGTGTGCTTGAAAAAAAATAAAATGATGAATAATTCAGAGGGCATACTGTTTTTACCTTGAAAGTGCATGAAATATCACTCTGATTTTTTCTATTTATACTTAACACAAAATCAATAGAGAAGTTATGTTTTACAGTGTGAAAGAATCAGTCAATACTATTTGGTTCTAGAAAAGGCGATACAACTAATTGAAGACGATGATGCATGAAACTGTCTTAGAAAACCCACTATCGGATTGAATCTCTTTCAAATATGCTCAGATGGAAACTAGAATACATATTGGAATATGAAA